CCCTCCCTCCGCCGCCGCGCCTGCCTAGGGCTTCGCCGCGCAGCCCTGCGCTCGACATGGGCCTGCAGCGCGGCCCTTTTAGAGCGCGCGCGGGCGCGCGGCGAGTTGTGCATTCTCGCCCTGTCTTGAATTCACCTCCGATCTTCGCGCTCTACCCCATCAGTTCCCCCGCTCTCTCTCTCTCTCCTCTTCTCTCCTCTCTCTCTCTCTCTCCCTCTCTCTCTCCTCCTCTCTCTCTATTTTACTATCTCCCTCTCTCTCTCTCTTCGTCTCATTTCCTTCTCTCTCTGCTCTCTCTCTCTCCCTTCCCTCCCCTCCCTCCCCTCTTCACTCCCCACCCAATTGCAATAATTCCTGTTTCTTCCACGCGCTCTCTATCGCCCTCTTTCCTTCGCTCTCGCCCTCTCTTCTCTCTCTCTCTCTCTCTCATCGTTTCATCTCTTCTTCTCTCTCTTCTCTTCTCTCTCTCGATTCTCTCTCTCTCTCGCCCCCCCTCTTCTCCCCGCTATCCTTCCTTGTGCATTCTGCGTTCCACGCCCATCCGTCCCCTATCCCATCCTAATCCCGCATATGCTTCGTTACACGCCCCTCAATATCAGGTCTCTCCCCGCCCTGTATACCGTCCATCGATTTCACCATCTCTCGATTGTGCTGCTATCTCTCTATCATCCCCCCCCCCCTCCGCCGCCGCGCCTGCCCAGGGCTTCGCCGCGCAGCCCTGCGTTCGACGTGGGCCTGCAGCGCGTCTCCTTTAGAGCGCGCGCGGGCGCGCGGCGAGTTGCGCGCCCTCCCCCCTGTCTTGAAATCCCCTCCGATCTTCGTGCTCTACCCCATCAGTTCCACCTCGCTTTCTCTCTCTGTCTGTCTCTCTCTCTCTCTCTCTCTCTCTCTCTCTCTCTCTCTCTCTCTCTCTTTTTTTTGATTTGTTTTTTCTCTCTCTCTCTCTCTCTCTCTCTCTCCTTCTCCCTCTCCCTCTCTCTCTACCTCGCCCCTCCTCTCCCCCTCCCTCCTCTTCACCCCCGTCTCCGATATGTTTTATGGTCTTCCGCGCGCTCTCTCTCTCTCTCTCTCTCTCTCTCTCTCTCTCTCTCTCTCTCTCTCTCTCTCTCTCTCTCTCGCCTCCCTTCTCTCCCCCCCGCCTGGCCCCTCCTGCATTCTGTGTTCCGCCCCACCCATCCTCACCCCATCCTGCCCCGTATAGTTCTCCACGCCCCTCCTGTTTCATGGGTCTCTGCCCGCCTTGCATGCCACCATCTATTTCCAACCATCTCTCGATTGCCGCTTCTCTCTATGCATCTCCCTCCCTCTGCAGCCGCGCCTGCCTAAGGCTTCGCCGCGCAGCCCTGCGCTCGAACATATGTGCGTTATATATCAGTGTGGCGCGCGGCGCGGCGCCAGACAATGCGCGCGCGTGCCCCGTGCCCTTACCTCGGCCCTCGCCATCTCCCCCCCCCCCTCGCCTTCCTCCCATCCCTCCTCCTCCGCCCGCCCCCCTCCCCCCCCCTGCGCCACTCCCTGCTTCCCTTCGGCTCCACTCTGCCCCCCTCGCTCTGCGTCCCCCCCTGAGCGTTCTCCCCCCCCCCCCTCCCGCTCCGCCCGCGCCCCCCCCCCCCCCCTCGCGCCGCCGCCGCCGCCGCCACCACGCACGCCACCACCAACACACCACCACCACCACCACCACCACCACCACTACCCCGCCACCACCACCACCACCACCACTACCACCACCACCACCACCACCCCAACCACCACCGCCCCCCCCCCCCCCCCCTCCCCTTCCCCCCCCCCCCCCCCCCCCCAGACTCGAGGGGCGCGGCGGGGCGGTGCGGGGGAAGGTGAGCGGCGCTGGGGTAGGATGGGGAAAGGGCGGGAGCAAGAGGGGGGGGGGGGGGGGAAGGAGGAAAGGAGGAGGAGAAGGGGAGCGAGGCAGGGGGGGGAGAAAGGGGGGAGGAGGAGGAGGAGAAGGATGATGAGGAAGGCGCACTGCGCCGCGCCGAGACCCCACGGCGGCGGGGCGAACACAGTTTCCTCCGCCCCCCTCACTACCCCGCGCCCCCCCTTGCCCCGTTGCCACCCTTCGGCTCCGCTATGCCCCTCTCGCTGTCTAGCCTCTCCTCCCGGAAGCTTATCTCCTTTTCCCCCTCCGCTTCGCCCCGCGCCCCCTCCACAGCCTCGGGCGGGGGCGGGCGCGGACGGGGCGGGGCGGGGGGGCGGGGGCGGGGCGCGGGGGTAGGGGTGGGATGAGGAAGGTGGGGGGGGGGCGGGGGGGGCGGAGAAAGGGGAAAGGGGGGCGGGGGGGGGGCGCCGCGACCCACGGCGGCGGGATCGAGCACAGATATCGCCCCTGCGTTCCTCTGCCTCTCCTTTCCCTTCTTGTCTCCGCCCCATTTCCTGTTTCCCGACTCGGGGAGGCCCGTTCCTCTCCCCTTTCCCCCTTCGCTCATGGTTTTCTCCCGTGCTCGGCCCTCTCTTCTTGCCTCCCCCCATCTCCGCCGCCAAACGCGGGTTCGCGCTGGCCAGCGGGCGCCCCTTCCCGCGACCGCGCGCCGCGACCCACCCGCGACCAGCCTGCCGCCCACCCCGCAAAGTCTCGATTATTTCCTAAACATTGAGGACGGCGGGATTTAACAGCGACGGCACGGGGCCCCCCTTTGACCCACTTCGCGGCCCCCCACCTCGCCCAACACGCGCGTTCAAATTGTCCCGCGTCTAAAAGCGCCTTCGCATTTTTCGCTGGAAGCTGGCTCATGCGCCCGTCGCCCGCGAAATCGTCCATTGCCGGGGCGCCTGGCCCACGGCGCAAAAAATCAACCCATCGCTGGGGCGACCCTCGCGCGCGCGCTTTTTTTTTTTCGGGGGGGGCGCCGCGACTTCCCAAACCTCTCCCGCGGGGGCGCCCCGACCTGCATGTCGAGGCGAACCCGGCCGCGGCGACGAAGGGCGCGCAGCAGCATCGGTGCATTTTCCCCCGACGAACCTCGTCGCGGTCGAGGCCGCGCGCCCTGGTGCCGCGACCGCGTGCCGCGAACAGGCGCGCCTTTCCCCGCGGGTGACTCCCCGAAGGTGGGCTCGCCCACGAGAGCGAGCGACGGCGCTGGTCGATGCGCTCCTTGAGGGCGCTGAGGAGCCGGGGTTCGAAATGCTTCTCGCGGGGGAACAAGTCGCGCCGGCCCACCTCTTGGCCAGGGCACCTCTACAAGAAGGTAGCGCGAAGCTTTATCGACCGCTGCGAGTGGCCAGCCGCGCAACGGCGCCCTATGCTTGAGCGCTTTTGTCTGCCGCGCCAACTGGGCGCACTCGGGGGTCGCGCGCGGCGCGCGCTTGAGGATGCAGTCGAAGCCAGTGTCGATGTCATCGTCGCTCGTATCGAAAAAGCGTCGTTGCTGCCCTTCCGTTTGACTTCGGGCGACAAATGGAATTGGCGAGACTGCTCCCCCCCAAGTGCTCGAGGATGCGCTGCCGCGCGCGAGCGCCAGCCTCGGGGCGCCGGAACACCGACTTCCGCACGCTGCCGAAAGCAAGCGCAGGGGAGACCAGGAAGCGCATTTTCGTCTGAACTGGGAGGGCGACGCGCTTGATGATTGTCTTGGCGCCGCTTCCTGGGTCCATGGTCATCTGCAGCTGGGAATCCGCAGGCACCGGCTCCATAAAGCAGAACGGGGTGGGCAAGTTGGGCCAGGTGTTGTTCTTGAACCCCCCCCGATGCTGCGTCTCCAGGTCGCCGGGGATTCCGTCGGCGCGGGAGGCGATGAAGTCGACCCGGCGCGCAGGGGGGTCGTCGAGCGCAGACGCCTCCGTAGCAAATTCCACGAATGCTTCGGCTTCGCCCTGCGGTGGACAAGGGGTGACCGCGCGCTCTTGGAGAGGGCGGCAGAAGTGGCCGTCGGTCCAGTTCTCGGCGTCGTCGTGGACCGGCATGGGCTGCGGGGGGGGGCGGGCCCGAGCAAAGCGCCTGCAAGCGCGCGGGGGGGGGCAGAAGTTTGAGCCGCAACGGCTGCGGGTGATGGATTGATGATCTATCTCCAGAGGCACGCGTGCATCGCCGCAGCTGACGTTGTTCGCGTCTGCGCCTTTCTGTGGCTGCCCTCTAGAATAGCGCCGCGGCAGTCTTTTGCAACGACGGCGCCCGGCGCCGCGGTTGTCGGCGCGGTGCCGGCGCCAATGCGCGCATGCATCGCCATCGCTGCCGGCCGCGTTCGCGTCCGCCAGAGGGGGCGCCCTGTTTTTGAAGATGCCCTCTAGCGCGACGCGCGGTGTCATGCAGCGACGGCGCGCAGCGTCAGCGCCAGGCACCAGAGGACTGCGTGGGGGGGGGGTGACTTCGCGGACCCCCCCTGCAGCCCTGGCGGGCGCGCAATGAACGCAAAAAACTGGTGGCACATTTTTGGGGTTAACTCATTTGTTGGTCTTGCCCCGTTTTGCCCCCTCGTGTCTCCCGGCGCCCCGCGGAGCGGCCTGGGGGCCCCGGGCCAAGGCCCGGGCCGAGAAAATGGCATAGTTCCCTGCTTTGCGCGCAATCGCGGTTCGCAAGTCTCCCGCGCGGGAGAAAAATAATCGAAATTGGGAAAAAGGAAAAATGCGCCAAGAGCATTTGATCGTTAACGGGCTGTTCCACATATGGCAGGGGGGGGCATCCACTCTTGGATGCCCCCCCTGCCACGCATGGATGCAGAGGTCGAGGCGCGGCGCGCCTGCTCGCGCTGCCGCCCCCCCCCCC